GTTTAGTCATGACCACGGAAACGTCTTCGGACAGCGCTGGCTCTTCGGCTTTGAAACGGAGATGAGCACCGCAACCCTGGAGTCAGACTCGACTGGCTTTCGAGCAAGGGAACCTTTACCTTTACCTTTAATGCTGTTCTAGGTAACACAGTATAAGAGGGGGTTTTGGGGGGAGGGCGGGTTGCCACAAGTCCTATGCCCGGCCTATGTGCCTGTCCTTTTGTGAGCATTTAGCAGAGGCTAACTTGCAAGTGGTACTATGAAACTTTGTCTCCATCAAAAGTGTTGGACCATGGCAAGCATTGCTGGCAAGCACTGACCCCTTGTGGTGAACATCCAAATCTGCATGCTCAGTTTCTGTCCTCTTATGCGGACAGATCTCAAACCCATCGTTTTTCTTTATTCCCCTGCTCTTTTTAGATTTTTTCCCCCTGTTCATAAATTAACATCTCCCCCACTCCCATAAGACAAGGTTGTAAGGGTGTGTAAGAGTAATGGTCTATCTCAGGGGCCCCCCAGCCTTTTTGCACCTGCAGGCACCTCTGGAGTTCTGGTGTAGCGTGGTGGGCGCCAGTGTTCCCTCTAAGCTGAGTTAGTGTGAGCTAGCTCACAGTTTTTTAGCCTCCAGCTCACACATTTTTGCCTTAGCTCAAGAAGGATGGCTCCAGAGCAAACTGATTTATGCAGTAGCCAAATCGCTCGCTCACAACTTTAATGCCAGTAGCTCACAAAGTAGAATTTTTGCTCACAAGATTCCACTGCTTAGAGGGAACATTGGGGGCACAACCACAAAATGGCTGCCACAGAAAGAGCTGCCTCAGGAGGTGGAGCCAGCTATAAAATGGTTGCCACAGTTGACCTTCAGTCACACAGTGAAGAGCCTTGTGTGCTGGTAGCAGCTGCCGTCACAGCAGCTTTTTAAGAATCTGCAGAGCCAATCAGAAGCTCTGCTTAGGCAGAAGTCCTGCCCACTTCCTAAAAAACACTTGGCGACCACCATGTTAGGTACTCTGGTCCATCTAATTCAGTATCCTGTTTTCAGCAGCAGCCCTACCTCAAACGTCCTTTTGGGACTTTTCTTCTGGGAAGCCCACAAATAGGGCCCACTGGTAAGAGGCCTCGTCTGTTGACTCTTCCCCTTCCAGCTTCTTACAACGGAGGCATTCTGCCCCTGAGCCTGGGTCATCCAGTGTTTCTCCACAAAATTCTAGCTTGTGAAACTCATCTTCACAAGGCATTAGTAATGGATGCTAGTTCAGATGGCTGTAAAACGAGGTTTAGATATATTAATGGAGGAGAAGAGGCCTGTCTGCACCTATTGGCCATGATGGTTAAATGGAAGTGCTCTGCCCTTGAACGCCAGCTGCTGAGGATCAGGGCGTCAGCAGGGCAAAACTGTTGGTTTCCTGCCTGGCTGGTGGGCTTCCCATCAGGGCGTCCTGCCGGCCACCATTGGAAACTGGATACTGGACCAGTCAGCCCCACAGAGCTCTGCTGATGTTCTTCTGAAGCTCCACCCCTTCCAGGATGGAGCCATAAGTTTCCAGCCCTGTGAGCTTAGGCTTGTGTTTATATTCCTTGGCCTTGATGGGTTTGCGATATTCAGAATAAGAGCAGCAGCAGCCTTCTGATTACATGGTTCAAAGGTCCTATCAACAAGACAGGTTGGCTCTTGGATGAGTCCACCGGAATAGGACAAACCGAGGTTAAACACCACTCCACTTGGGACACACACCAACCTTGTCATATTTTGTGGGGCCATTTAAAGCTCACTCCTCTGTCTCCTGTACATCTGTCCGCACGCTGGCTTTTCTTTGAAGCAGCATTGGTCTCCATTGCCTAAGGTAGTGGGGGCTGGGGGGTGACTTTCCTCTCTTCTGAGATCTCATTTCTACTTCCCCCTTCCAGTTTACGGCATCATCGGGATCTTCTGCCTGGCCGCTTCGGTTGGCCTCTACAGCTGCCTTTCTCCATTTGTCCGGAGGTTCCCTTGGGGAAAATGCAGGTATGTGGCTGTTCAGCTGCTTTGTTATTTATTCGGTTTTTAGCCCTCCCTCCCCTGCATAGCAGGGCTCAGGGCAGGTAACAACATTCATAAAAACAAACAGTACAGCAACGACACAGACGGTGTATAAAGGAGCACAATGTGGCTCTTCTGATCCCAGGAGGGAATAAATATCCTAATTTGATCTTGTAGGAAGGAGTGGGGGGAGAAGAGAGAAAGGGAAGAGGAGGGAAGAAAAAAGGAAAAGGCAGGAGGGAAGGGAGTCCAATTCATAGGCCTGGCGGACCAGCTCTGTCTTACACACAATTCAGCGGGGCCTGTACCTTCTCCACGCCCGTAAAGCATATAGTGATCTGTGTTCCCTTCGATGCTGTCCATCTGGTTTTCAGGGTTCCTGATAACAACCTGCCGTACTTCCACAAGCGTCCGCAGGTCCGGATGCTGCTCTTGGCCCTCTTCTGCGTCGCCGTCAGCGTGGTCTGGGTCGTCTTCCGAAACGAGGACCAGTAAGTCCCGCCGTGTGTATTCCGCTCAGCTTTCAAACTCCGGTGCTCCAGTGTTTGCCTGTAGCCCTCTAGAGGTTGGTGGTGAGGGCCAGGAAGCTGCCTGTTTGTAAAACGAAGGCTCAGCTAATGCTCGCAGCCTGCATAGCCCCCACCAGCCCGAGCTGGTCAAAGCTTGGAAGCGAAGGCAGCCCGGCCCAGGTCAGTACTTGGATGGGAGGCCACCCAGGAAGTCCAGGATCGCTAGGCAGAGGCAGGCAGCGGCCAATCACGTTTCTCCATCTGTTGCTTTGAAAACCCCATGAAAGGTCACCCTGAGTTGATTGTGACTTGAAGGCACTTTATTGTTATTATTATTTTTGTATTCTTCATATGTGCCATGTGAGTGTGTGTGTGTGCACCTGGGAGTCATGGCAGCCTCTGGTGACTGACCCTGCTTAGCTTCTGAGATCTGACGAGATTGGGCTTAATTCTTATTAAGTTACGGGTAGGCTGAAAAGCTGGCGGATCCTGCCACTTATTACACATTGGCTGAAACAAGGCTCACTATTCGCTTGTTAATGTGAAACGTTTTTCCCTGGGCTGCCCCGCCCCCCAGCTGCTCAAGTAGCTTTGTCTGCTGGCTGGGTTCTCTGGTGTTCCCCATGCCCTGGGCCTCTCTCTCCATTGATGGCCCTGGATTTGATGGGCAAGACCATCTCCTGAAACAAGGGAAGATACTATGAGTGATAGGGGGTTTGTGTCTGTGTGTGTCTGTGTGTTGCTGTGGTGGCGGCGGCTGTTGTACGCAAAAGACTTTTGAGGTGTGGCAGTGTAACCATGGAACCTCAATAGGGACCCAGAGCAGCTTACATCATTCTCCTGTCCTCCATTTTCCCCTCACAACAGCCTTGTGAGGTAGGTTAGGTGGAATGTGTGTGACTGGCCCAAGGTCACCCAGCAAGCCTCCAATGGCAGAGGAAGGATTCGAACCTGGGTCTCCTTGATCCTAGTCCAGCCCTTTAAACAGTATGCCACGCTGGCGTTAGGTACTGGGCAAAGAACTTATTGCAACCCAACTTTCATTCTTTTTTCCCCTCGGTTTCATTAGTTCTGCCTGCTGTGGTAAGGAGGTTTTTGGCTTGGTTTTTTAATCAGGCCTATGTTATGTTAGGAGTTGGATCCCCTCAGAGCAGTTTAATGAGCAGGGGCGCTTTCCTCGGTTGCAAGGAGCCAGAGGGCAACACCACCGCTAAAGGGACAGATCTGCAGGAGCTTCTTTCAAATCATCTTCAAACTGTTATTTTGAAATTTTGATTTATTGCTGGCCATTCTGAGCAAATGATATCGGAAAGAGCGGGCCATGAGTCATTGTCATTCATTACAAAGGCCACGGTCTGTAGAAGACTAACATGGGGGCGGTCTTGTCCAGAGGGTTTGAAATCTTTCTGTGCAATCCTATGCACGTTTACTCAGGAGTAAGCTCTAATGTATTAAATGGGCCTTCTCTCCCAGGTAAGGGGACATAGGGTTCACACAGTGTAGGTTAGTGGAGAAGAGGATGAGCTAGTATATCTGGGAGATAGCTGCCGGTCCGAGTCTCATCTTGTCCGCAAACTCACTTGATGACCTTGTCTGTCATCTTTCTCATGATTCTAATCTGTCTTTCTGTCTAACCCCATTTTTATCCTACCCTTCCTCCAAAGAGCTCAGGGGTGGCATACATAATTCTCGCCTCTCCTCGATTGTATCTTCACAACAACCCTATAAGGTAGGTTAGGCTGAGAAAGGGTGAGACTGAACCCAAGGTCACGTGCAGAGCTCCGTGGCCGTGTAGGGACTCAAACCCAGGCTTCTTCGGTCCTAGTCTAATCATTCCGTCACGCTGGCTGCCTAAGGGCAAGGTTTCTTTCTCAGTTCTCCGCAAAGAATAGGAGTGCTAAGACTGGCCTGCCTTGCAGGGGTGTTAAAAGGATGACGGTGCATTTGATCACTGAACGTGCTACGCGAGGGCTTAGTAGTAGGTTAGAATTATATTAACTGTAAAGATGGGGGATGGGGAGAGGCCACTGGGTCCCTGAAATGTTTAGGGAGTGATGATGGTGGGTGGACAGGCAGGTGACACAAGGGTAGAAAGGACCCCGACCCATGAAGGGGGAGCACCCAGGTGGGAGCGGAGAGGAAAACCAAAGGTGCCGGAGGGGAGGTGTGGACTAAGATGCCCTCAGGGCCAGGGCGCAAGACCTAATTAAGGTCAACAGGTCAGACTCTGGGGTCGTTGCGATGCAGGACGGGTGGGGGGAAACAGTCTGGGCCAGGGATCTAGTCTCAGAGTGAGGATCTGGGGCTTCTGCACGGCCCCTGCCCTTCCCTCCCACGTGACTCTTCTCGCTCTAGGTGGGCCTGGGTCCTCCAAGATGCCCTGGGGATCGCCTTCTGCCTTTACATGCTGAAAACTATCCGCTTGCCGACATTCAAGGTAAGGCCAAGGGGCAGGTTGGGGTGGGGATTGTGAAACGCTGAGGGCCAGTGTGGGGTTCAGGCTGGGGAGACCAAGCATATTAGAAAAGAGTTTCTCTCCAGGGTGTGAGCTGGAATGCCTCTTCCGTGAGCAGCAGGGATGCCTCTTCCATGGGCAGCAGACTTCTTCTCGGAAGAAGCATTCCCTCTGGTATGAGAGAGAAGGGAACAGTATCTCCTGTGGAGGTCGGGCCTGTAGTTAGAAGTATTCCCTCCTGTATTTGTGGCTCTTTGAAGCTGGCATTTGCCACCCACAGTCTTCTAACTAACAAGTACCTGAATTAAAAACACATGATTCTTTTTAAAACGTCCACTGCCTGATTATGGGGTGTGTGTGCCCCCCCCCCCCCCCCCGGTTGATCAGAAGGCTTTCAATTGATCACACAATGCAGGTCTAAAAATGGTCACTTTCTAACTCTGAATGAGTCAGGCTGGGGGCGGTGGTATTGATCTATGGCTTCAGGGTGTCCTTTAATTTTGGGAGATCAGCTGCCCTTTTATTAAGATATGCAAAGTGATTTCTTGTCTCTCTCTGTCTTACTCTAGGGCTGTACTTTGCTTCTCTTAGTCCTGTTTGTGTACGATGTTTTCTTTGTGTTCATTACACCGTATTTCACTGAGGTACGTGGTATTTGCCCTGGGATTAGCACAGTGTTTTCTTGGGGGTTTGGATGTATGCCCTGGATCAGGGGTCCCTCACACACAAGTGCCCACCAACACTTTTCCTGGCACCCACCAAGTCTTTTTAGAAAGTGGGTGGGAAAATGTGGGGCGCTTGCACTATATGGCTTCCGATTGGCCACTGAACATCTGTTTGGCTGTGCAGATGTTTTCAGTTGGAGCTGCCACCCCAGTGTCACCTTTATTCTTTTGTCACTCCTCTTTCCAATTGTATTTTACAAATTCTCCTCTTTCCCCTGCACTTGGGCTTGCTGTGTGTGTGGCTACACCTCCTAAAGCAGCCATTTTGTAGCTGACTCCGCCTCCTAAAGCAGCCATTTTGCAGTTGCGCCCATTACCTTATGTCAGAATTCCAATGGGCTCAAAAGGGTTGTGCTGTGCAAGGTGTACCAGTCTTATGTCAGAATTCCAATGGGCTCAAAAGGCTCAAGGTGTACCAGTTCCATGTGCTTGTGTTACCAGGTTTCAGTCAAAGTGTTGGATCAGAGAGTGGTTGTTTGTGCCAAAATGAAGGGAAGGTTTCTCTTTCTTCTGTCTGCATGCGTGAGGGTTGAGAGGGTGTTTAATTTATTTCTTGCAAAGAAGAGAAGGGCGGGAGCCGCCAGTTGCGCAGTCCGGCCAGGCATGAGAAAATTGGTAGGTCTCTGTATCCGTCACTGTCGGAAGGGAGAACCGGGCAGGATGCTGATCCCAAAGGCATCACGAGGCCGGATGGCTTTGCAGCCCTTCTGTTCTCTGTATCAATGTCCAAATGTTACCGTGACGTACTTCGCCAGCGCCTTCGGGCAGTATAGCGCAGGCAGGAGGGCAGCAGGTCAGACTCAAAGGGAAGGAAATGTCACGCTTTTGATTCTTCCCCTTTGAGATCTGGCCTTGCGGCGCCCCCAGCCCTTGAACGATAACTCCTATTTTCCTGCGTCTGTTGACCTGAATTGCGGCAGGCACCAAAAATATCTCGTGCGTGCCCAGACGCGCATTTTATCCCATTACCCTTGATCCCTTGGTGACAGTTTCAATTACGCTCACTATGCACAAAGTTATCTTTATTAATGTAAGGACATTGCAGGGTGGAATGCTCTGTGTGTGTCGGGGTGGGTGTGCTTCATTGCAGACAGACAGTGCCATCATTGCAGATAGACAGTGCCCATTCTGTTAACTGTCCATCACTAGAGAAGTAGGGGCGTCTGTCCTTGTCCTCCAGAGAAGAAAAGATGACTTTGGGGGGGTGGCGGGAAACGAAGGTGTTGGGGAGGGGTGGCGTGCCAGGCCAGGAGGGATTCTTCAGCACTGCCGAGGATTGCACACCAGGGAAGGAGTGCGTTTCCTTTCCAAGGCTGACAGTCCCTAGCATCTTGTCTCTGTCCCCCAAGACTCTTTTTGGTTTAATTTCTGGAGTTTTCTGGGAAGGAGCCCCTGCCCTCTTCATCATCCTGCTGTCGGTCCCTGATCCTCTAAAGGGTAGGAGGCCGGAGACGTGTTTCTTAAAAATGAACTGACTGGACTCCTTCCCCTCTGTTTCTTTCAGACCGGGGAGAGCATCATGGTGGAGGTGGCAGCCGGCCCGACCGACTCGGCCACTCATGAAAAGGTGGGTCTGGGGCAATGTTCCCTCTAAGCTGTGGAGTCCTGTGAGCAAAAATTCTACTTTGTGAGCTACCGGCATTAAAGTTGTGAGCGGGCGATTTGGCTGCTGCGTAAATTAGTTTGCTCTGGAGCCCTCCTTCCTGAGCCAAGGCAAAAATGTGTGAGCTGGAGGCTAAAAAACTGTGAGCTAGCTCACACTAACTCAGCTTAGAGGGAACACTGGTCTGGGGGCTTGGACGTTTCCAAAGAGTGGCCCCCAGGCAAGATGGGGTGTGGGCGGGGCAGGTTACCCGTCTCTTGTCGGGGCTTCAAAGCAGTCCTGCTTGCTTGCTTAACAGCAACTTCCTGCCAAAGAGTCAGTTCTTGACACTTTGGTCTCTCTCGGACAGGGAACCTTCTTTTTTAATTTTCTGTTTCATATCCCACTGAGAGCCAGTTTGGTGTCGTGGTTAAGAGTGGCCGACTCTAATCTGGGAGAACTGGGTTTGATTCCCCACTCCTCCACATGCAGCCAGCTGGGTAACCTTGGGCCAGTCACATTTCTCTCAGAGCTGTTCTCGAGAGAGCTCTCTCGGCCCCACCTTACCTCACAGGGTGTCTGTTGTGGGGAGGGGAAGGGAAAGGAGATTGCAGGCCACTCTGAGACTCCTTTGGGTAGTGAAAGGTGGGGTATAAATCCAATCTCTTCTTCTTCTGGGGTGGATCCCCCTCCAAACCTTCATGCCCTGCTTGTGGATTTCCTGGAGGCAACTGATTCTCCACAGTGGGAAATAATCATAAATAAAAATCTGTCAAGGCATGTAACTTCCCTAAGGAACGCTTCTTTTATCTTTATCCTCCAAAGCTCCCCATGGTGTTGAAGGTACCGAGGCTCAATTTCTCACCCCTGGCGCTCTGCGACAGGCCGTTCTCACTTCTCGGATTCGGGGACATTCTAGTTCCAGGTACATTCTCTTCCTCTGACCTTCCTTTGGGACTTAACAGCGGTTGGTATTCTCACCTCATCTCTGGTTTCTCGCATCTGGCACCTGCTCTTGGCTTCTGTTTCTCAGATATGCTAAGATTTTGCACTTATTAACCCTTCTGTCTGCGAAGGTCATCTTGGTGCCATCTGAGAGGGAAAGGGGGCGATCACTCCGTTGCAGGGGATAACTGCTCTGCTTGCAGAAGGTCCCGGGATGAGTCGCTGGTATCTCCACTCAGAAAGAAACTATTTTGGAAGACTAATGCTCTTGATAAAAAATACCTTTTTGAAAAGGCAAAATATAAGATCCATATTTTTTTCTTTCAACTGGAGTGAAATTCTAAAACGATAAACATGAATGGAAATCTGTCTTTGACTTGCACTCTTCCAGTTGCAAGCCGTATTATCCTAAAAGAGAACGTTTACAGAGTTCTAAACATTCTGTACCTGTGGTACTTGCCACCATACAAGTTAGGCAGAAATGTGTCAGTGTTGAAAATGTGGGCACGTCAGTCAATTGCCTACACGTGTGGTCATCCTGTCCAATTGTTTCTACTTTCGGGACAAGAGTTTTAAATAAGATCGTGTGTCTGACAGGAATATCGGTGCTTAAAAGTTTCAAAATTGTGTTGTTGGGTCTTCTGTATTAATAATGGAATGAAACTGTATTAATAATGGAATTGTCTTATATGGTTTTATGTGGTTTAAACTGTATTTTATGTACTGACTGTGAGCCGCCCTGAGCCTGCATTGCGGGGAGGGCGGGGTATAAATGCGACTAATAAAATAATAATAAATAAATAATAATTCTACAAAAGGTCTCTTCTAAACTAAGATTTCCTATGGTTGCTGACTTATCAACAGCCATAAAATGATCATAGCTAAAAACCCTGGCTTGTTGCCAAACATTTTTTTTTCAAGAAACAGATTTAAAAGGTCTGGTGAAATTGGCTAAATTAACAGTGTGTTTACATCTAAAGGATGGATGATAGTCTAAACCAGCTCTTTTTGTAGAAAAAGCCCAGCAGGAACTCATTAGCATAATAGGCCACACCCAACAGCAGGAACTCATTAGCATATTGGGCCACACCCCTGACAGCACAGCTCATTAGCACATTAGGCCGCACCCCCATGTTACCAGAAGTGTGGTTATCCAGCCACACCCACCTTTTGCTTCTTATTCTGTTTACCTTGTTTGTTGTCAAAACCCAGGGCTTTTTTGTAGCAGGAACTCCTTTGCATGTTAGGCCCCACACCCCTAATGTAGCCAATCCTAATGAGTTCCTGCTGTTGGGTGTGGCCTGTTATGCGAATGAGTTCCTGCTGGGCGTGGCCAGCTTAGGAGCCAGCCGGAACTCCGTTCCTGTGCGTTCCCGCCCAAAAATAGCCCTGGTCTAAATTGTTGTTTGCTGTTTGCTTGGGAACCTTTTGTACAGATTTGGGAAACACTTCTTAGCTTGCAGATGGACATTTACAACTGGTTCCCCCCCCCCCCTTAAATTTAGTAAGATGTTAAGAATCTTGTCTACTTTGTTGTAATTTTGAAAACAATAATAATAAAAAGGAACTCTGGTAGTAGGGCTGGCAAAGACCTCTGTCTATCTCTGTGTAGGTGATCCAATCAGATACTCTGCCCCTGAGCCAAAGCCCCGCCCAGCGTTAGAGCGGGCAAATTGTCCTTTGGCATAAACGCACATGAAGCTGCCTTATACTGAACTGGACCCTTGGTCCATCACGGTTAGTATTGTCTACTCAGAGCAAATCTCCAGGGTCTCAGGCGGAAGTCTTTCACATTAGCTACTGCCAGATCCTTCAGCTGGAGATGCCGGGGATTGAACCTGGGACCTTCCGCACACCAATGATGCTAGGTGCCGAGACCAACAGTGTGGCTGGGGTCAAGGCAAAACTGTACAGCTGTGGTCTTCTGCTTTTCATCAGTGGTACTATAGCTTGCTGGTGGAGCAGGTCCTTCATATACGGAGGGGCCGGAGTTCAGTCTCCATTCAAAGGCTCCCCAGTAGCAGGTGCTGGAAAAGACCTTTCAATGCCTGAGCTACTGCCAGAGGAGCTGTATGAAATGCATCAAAGACTTGACTCTGCACCAGTCAGCTTTGTATGTGCAAAAATCTGCAGTGATGCTTCTCTGCTTTTAGAGCCACCCCTTGGGGGGTCAGGCGCATGCTTTGCCTGCAAAGTGTCCCTGGTTCAGTCCAGGCATCTCCAGGAGCGGCTGCTGGGAAAGACCCCTTCTCTGCCTAAGCTCTCTGAGAGCAGCTGCCAGTCAAAGGAAACGAGTCTGAGCAAGGTGCACCAAGAGTAGAAAGCACCTGGCCCCACTGCTGGACCTCCTGATGGCACCTGGTAATTTTGGCCACTGTGTGACAGAGTGTTGGACTAGATGGGCCATTGGCCTGATCTAACATTGGCTTCTCTTATGTTCTTATGACAGCCTTCTGGCAGAAAGAGAATTAAATAGTTCACAGCTTTGGGTTACCATCCGGTAGAACTTGGGATGGTGTGTGTGTGTATTTAACAATTTCAGTGTTCTGTCCGCGGTCTTTTCCTTCCCTTAGGACTCCTGGTAGCATACTGCCATCGGTTCGACATCCAAGTCCAGTCATCCAGAGTGTACTTTGTTGCCTGCACCACAGGTACGTTTTGCTCCTCCTGGCACATTGCCAGCCCTCTAAAAGCAGAGATCGTTATCACGTCCCTATCCCTATCCCATCAGCACCATTTTGGTTCTTACCTCCTTTCCAACCATCATGCAAAGAGAAGCGGTTTCTCTCCCTCCCCTTTTCTTATCGCCTCTTACTTCGCAAGCTCCTTGTTTCTCTGAGCCAAAATGAAAGCTCTTTGAACACAGATTGAATTACAGCAACCTTGGGTTGGCCCGGTAATAGGTGCGTGGGTGCTCTCTTATTAATGTCATTATATCTAATTCTGAACTGGCCTCTAGGACATAGATCATAAAATCCAAACAATGGAACAGGTAGGGGGGATTTTAGTACAAGCCTGAGGAAAAATGTTGGGGTTAGAAAATCGTCCAAATTATGGAAGTAATACCTCCTTCTTTTAAGAAAAACGTGTCACTGAGAACGTGTGCTGTGAGGTCTCGGCAGCCATTTTGGGGGTTGCTAGGCAACCCGAAGGCAACATTGGGGAGGATTCCAAGCATCAGTATCAGCAGGGGGAAGAGACCTTTAAAAAGTAAAAGATAGGAGGAAGGGATCGTAAAGCTGACAGTGAGAAGAGCAAAGAAAGGTAGGAAAAGGAAAGTTGAAGAAGGGGGACCATAAAAGGTGGGTGAGTAAGGATGGCAGAGGAAGAAACAGAAAAGGGTTAGTGGGCGAAAGGGGAGGGGCTACCAGGGGGAGGGGGGAGGGAATGTGGGATGAGATTCCCATCCCTCCATGAGTTCTTGCCTTTCCTTCACTTGTATTGTGTCTGTTTGTAGCTAAGAACGAGGGTGACAGGCCTGATCAACGCTCTGGTTCAGGGTATGACGTTGACCCATGCAAGGCATACCTATCAACACCTGGGCCTGCACCACCATTAGCTATTGGTCACAAATCCCAGCAGCAGGCATCATTTAAAAAAAAAATGTATTTACTTTAAATATGCTTTACCCCCTCCACAAAACAGAAAGCTCACTATTTCATAAATATTATGCCATGCTATAAATGACACCCCTCCCTTCCCCAAAAGAGGAAAAACAGCCCCACTACCACAAAGAATTAACTATTCAGACTCGAATCCTATAGGAAAAGACACAGGTCTGAGCTAGTATTTAGCAGTTAGCAGACAGACTTGCTAAGGTTTGTGGGTACGTGGCTGTCTTAGAAGGCTTGCCAGCATCTTTCCGGAGAAGGCATCCTGTGTACCTTTTCTGGCAAGCCATTTCAAAGGGGTGGGGGAGCCTCTGTAGAGAAGGCTGTGGCTCTTTGCAGAAGAGAAGAGATTGGATTTATACCCCGCCCTTCACTACCCAAAGGAGTCTCAGAGCAATTTACAGTTTCCTTTCCCTTCCCCTCCCCACAACAGACACCCTGTGAGGTAGGTGGGGCCGAGAGAGCTCTTTGGAGGACTGCTCTTGAGAGAACAGCTCTAAGAGAACTTGTGACTGACTCAAGGTGACACCAGCAGCTGCATGTGGAGGAGTGGGGAATCAAACCCGGTTCTCCCAGTCTAGAGTCCACGCTCCTAACCACTACACCAAACTGGCTCTCTTTGCAGTCAGAGCAACTTCCTGAAAGGACTGTTCTAACAGAGTCCTGGGCCTTTCCTTTTATTTTTTTTTCAAACTGCTTCTGCTGATGGTTTCCCCAGCTTTGCAGTTACAATTTTTGTAACTGCTTCGTTAGGAAGTATCATGAAAATCCTTAAAACTCACACCACCTCCTCTTGTCCCATCATATGTTTTTAAGGTTGCCCCCCCCCCCCCCCCCCCGTCACCATAATAATCACACTGTCGCCCCCACCGCAA